ATCCGATCAACTTGGTCCATATGGTACGTTTACGCAAATGCTTGGGCACACTTGGAACGGATTAAATTCACTGGATGCTAATCGAGTAGTCGGATCCGATCTTGGATTCCTCTGATGCGTACTTCAACGATCCGGTATATATACCTATGGGGCATCCGTGATAGCCATATTTGCTGTCCTTTAGGATTCAAATTCACTTGTCAGAGGGAATAACTTCTCATATAGAGATCGAACGCGTGGATAATTTGATCTTGTTCACATAATTGAACTTTCCTTACATCAAACATTCCTGCGACGAATTCAGCGTCATAAAAAATTATATTTATTATCCCACCCAGTATGTTTGCTGCTATGGATGGGGTGGAGAGATGACCTTGAATTGTTTCAATCAACTTGGTGATACCGCTTTAAGTACCAGGTCGCTTAATATTATTATATAAGTGTCTTTCATTTTCATGTCTCCGCCATCTGGTCCAGTCACCAATCTTCCAACTCCCTTTCATCCTTCATAAACTTTACCGGTCGCGCCATTGCTTTGGTTGTGTGATTGTGTGTATAAAGTCTGTGTAATACTTCAGTCACTATCGTCGTCTTTAATTTCTCTTTCTTTGACTTTTAAAGAGTGATCTACAATGAGACTTGTCCGATTTTGGCCGAACGTTTTTCACCCTGCGGATCCTACTTTCCAGCACGATCCAGTTTGGTCCACGGAGAAACCTCATGAGGAAGTAGAGGGTTCTTATACGGACTGAGAGATCCATATATTCCGTTTTGACTTTCTAGTTTTCAGATCCCATCCAAACCCTTTCATACCCCAGATGTCCTTTTTATACGCGTCAGTGAAGATAATTCTGCCTCTGTAGCTTCCATAGTAGATTCAACTTAATTAACACATCTTCAATCAGAAGCCCATGGTGAATTTCCGAGTCATCAGACGATATGGACACGCGAACCATTGAAATGAAGTGGTGGAGTGGTGATCGCAAGATTTTTGTGACCCCGACTCTTTACTGGCGCCCAGACGACCGAATATCGAAGAAGGGTCTTTGTTTCCGTGTGTAAATCTTCTTTCTTCACCATGTGTATTCGTCTTTAAGGCGGAGTGCACTCGTTCAGGTGGAATCGTTTTGATCGAAAACTTGACAATATTTAAAATGGTGAGGTGTTTGAGTGGAAGGCTTTCCAAGATCACTGGTATGATTGAAAGGTGCTCGATATGAGTGAACCCGGTCTCGACGAGATCGCCTTGTACAAAGTAGATACTTACATCGCTTGATCTTCACACCACTTAAGCCGGCTTGAGGTCCTGTATCTTTCCCTTTACGATATTGCTTCGTACGATCGCAGCGGGGGAGGGGGTTATCTCGAAAGTCCTTTGAGACATAGCCAAACCAATCAGGGGTGTCACTTAATCAATGCATGCGACTTTCCTAAATGTCGGGTGGTCAGTAATCCAATCTGTAAGAGAAGCCGACAGGTGTACATACAATCAAATCGAGCTATCTGCAATAATGAAAAACTTCAATCAAGAACCACCACTATGCTTAATCGGAGCTTCAAATTCCTGCTATGTATTGTCTATACCTACTATCACCTTTTTGCGAGACGTCGCTCATACTATATACTCCTCAATCGTAGATAGCGGATCGCGTGGTTTGAAGCACATCCCTCTGAACGATCGCGATCATCTTCCTGATAGCGATTGCGTCCTTTATCGCGAGCATTGTGGTGTAGTTCCCACCAAGATAATAGTATGCTGTCTCCTCCGTGGTCGCGATCACGTACCGATAAGTATGCACCTTACAATTTCCGTCACCCTTTGACCTAAGGAACGAGAGTACAACTTGTTAAAATCCTCATCAGTCCAAACGACTCAATGAGACGTGTACGACTGTCTCCACCAATCTGGTTCCCATTTGGACCTTGCCGGAGAGCGATTTTTCCTTATGTCGCAAAAATTCTTGAACATTTCCTACAGGCATCGTTGATATCGTAAAAGGGACTTCGAGCTCGACAAAAATTAAGCCTACGCTGCTCTAGTGACTGGCGACGAAAAATAATTCGACGCGTCCAGGACGGCTGAAGCTCTATTCCGATGTATTTAGTAGCTTTGATGCCCATAAAAATAAAGAAAACCTTATCACCTAGGGCAGTAGCACACAAATACTGTGTTGCCAAAGCTACATTACTCAAAGGCCTGCATTATCTTGACGTTGTTAAATCACCCAAGCGCTTCACCGCCACTGACTACCACCAAGTTTTGACGGTCCGCGCCTTGTTGCAATTTTGCAACAACGTTGGACCCCCATCTCGAGATATTTAGACGATGGATGGTCGCTACTTACTTGTGCACGTAACGTTGGGCTCACGTTAGCACCTTTATATGCGTTGATCTCTGTCTTTTGGTGACGCTTAAATTTCTGCTAACTCTTGTACGTCGGAGAGTGGGTACGCTCGCTCTCCATGTAAAAATACAGTCAATATTGGACCTCTTGTTTCCTACCGTCTCGCAAGAAGATATATCGAAGAAATAGTTTGAGTCTGTTTCGAGCCAAAAGGCTCCTGTTTTGCTACTAAGATCGCTTGATCTAGTGATTCTAGCTCCAAGCGGAATACGTGGGTATTGATTATATCGTCCGTTAGACCCTCAAAACATTGCAATATCTGTGTTTCCATATATCACGTCGACCCTAATGCAACGCGATATGTATCGGATGGGCTGCGCGTATGCGTGCGCATCAACTTTGACCCGTTTGATTTAGATTAACTCAGCACAAGCCCTGATTTGGCTTGTGGCGTTTTAAACGTTTGGCTGAGCCGGGACTTACAGAGTTCTGAAGCCCCAAACAAATGTGGATTGTGGAGCTTGAGCATTAACGTCTATGGCTTTGCACATCAAGCCAAGTTGGACTGGGCGGTGCAACGCGCATTTCACAGCCGACGATGCGACGATCGATTATGGCGTCATTCGACCCGACGAACCATCTCAATAGGGAGCTTTCCATCACTCTTGTGTACTTGATAATATATACAAAAGGTTCTAAGACGACGCGTGTGCGTTAACCCGCAGCAGCATTATTTTGCTACTATCTCAACAGCTCTTTCTGTTAAGCATTAAATTCTCTCCAATGCTCGGTAGGCTGAGAGCCTTGCTAAAAAAGTAAAGATTCCATTTTTATTCGGCGTTACTTTCATTTTGTGTGAACTTGTTTACAGCGGCGCATGTTGATGGTCTCTGTCAAGAGCCTTCCATATGGCATGAACATTTGTGTTGCCAACGAAAGAACTTGGTAATTATACCGCACACCAATTGACTTCACTCGTATGATTAAAGCTTTCAGACGTGGCGTGAAAGATATCCAGTTCATCGAACATGAATATGTTCGATGAGATGAGCGTGGTGGTTGAATTGACCACGAAATGATACCAGGTATAACGAAGAGGCTCATATCACTTTACTTGTGCGGCTTTGTGTTATTTTCAACACAAGGGTTCCTGCTCCCAGACTCATGTACATGTGAGCGATTAGAAAGCGCGAGGGAGAGAGCTGAACAAAGGATGCTTAGAGTAAGGGGGTAAGTATAACTGTGTGTGATATAGTTGTGTTCTTTCAGTCAACCTTCTTTATCGTACTTGAACTACAGTAAACTACAATCTTCTATGTGGATTTCTTGTTCACCACCCTTTGCGCGCGTTGGCAGCGATTTGTGGCTCATCTAGTTGATATAATGGACTATGCCAGCCAATAATAAGAGCGGAGGTGATTATACTTTCGAAGGGGATATTCCATATTTATTTTTATGGAAGGTAAGTGTTGGTGAATTGATTGGATGAGTTTACGATACTCCACTAGACCCAATGTGGTGTTGACTGTATCGAAGGGCTTTTGTCCGTTTTTCCAAAAAAAAGAAACGGGGATCTTCCACTCTACTCCATTCAATTGACGATGGAGGTCACAAAAGACATAAAAGCTGATGTCATAAAAGCGATGATGACTAGGTATCTATGCCAAGCGCAACGAGATGATGATGATGATGCAAGGTCGTGTATGAAGCGAAAGGGTGGACTTCGTATACCTCGCGTCTCATCGCAATGACAAGTTGCTGAAGACATGACGTCTCATCGCATCTAAAAAGCTGTTGGAGACCTGACACCTTTGTCTTTACAAGCGTGGATAGAGCTTTATAGCGCTTATGGGATTATTTGGTATATAGTAGTGCGACTCGTAAAGAACTTACATCTTGTTGTCGTGCTAGTGCATACCTGATGCAAAGAAGAGCAAAAAAAGACGCAAATTAGCTTTGCAGCAAACAGGCGGCTATATGATTGTTGCGATGGCGGCCTCTGTCTTTCATGTATGTAGACAACCCCAAGCGTATTGTATGACGTTTGCATGTAAGCTCGCCACATTTGAGGAGGCGGTCCCATGGAATTGCGTGAAAAGGTGGGTGGAAGACCATCCGAAAGATGCTATGGGGCAACGATGTCTCGCGGTATAATTCGCTCGGTAACGTTTTTTTTGGCTGGGTGACTCCGTTGTTCACTAAGTGCATACTCGCTGGGTTTTCCTTGCATGATTACATAAGTAGCCTCGCGTCAGATCGAAAAGGTTTGCCGTCAGGCATCACGAGGTGGTCGATTGATAAGGGTGTGATGTAATACGCATGTACTCCAGAATCAATATTGAGACGTCTGGTGAGAGACGAGTTCATAGCTTGCACGTCGCGACACTAGAGTCCGCATCTTACCTTTTGAACATCATGACGTCTTCCAGATATTTTGTTTTGACCCAACGTTACTTAACACTCGCAAAGCAGCTGAGTGCTTCATCGTTCGAAAGTGAGTCATGATTTCCGTGTGTTTCGAGGCTTCAAGTGCGCGCGGAAGTTAAACTTGCTGGGCCAAGCAGATGCGCAGATGCAAATCTGTCAGAAATGGGGCAGGTGAGGCCAACAATCTCATTTAACAGTCGTGCCGTCAAAAGTAAAAATTCACTGCACCTAGTCGTCAAGATACTTGGAGCTCATCGAGCTACTGCTACTTCCTTGACTAAAACGGCTACGATTCCGGTAAATTGTGTCGCTACCAGTTGGTAATGGACTTGCGGTGTCGGCTGTAGAGTCGGATGGCACATACGCCATCATGCGGATCCAGCGGCGGCGGCGCACGGACGCCCCTAGACGCTTCATGCTCGACTTGCCCCGAGCCAGATGAAACTTGAAACGCGGGAAATCAGTGGCGTAACTCCAGCCTTCGTCGTCGCAATCCGTGTAACTCTTGTCGATAAGCCAAGGAGTTGTCCAGCTCCAGTGAAGGGGTAGCAAAACCTGCTCAAAACTCATTTTTTTGTCCCCCTCTCGGTTGGAGAAGCGAGGGCGATCTGTAGGTAGCAGATGGTTAGGCGCCCATTTTCCAAACATGCTGACGCGCTGGTTTTCGAAAATCTCCTCGAGTCCTACGCTTCCATCGAGGGTGCTGTTGTAGCGCGTAATACTCGGGCGTTGGCTTGAAATTACCCCTGTCGATAGACTTCTCACTGGACGGCCATACGTCGCATTTTCTTGCCTGGCACTGCTGATAAAGCGGGCCTCTCCAGTCGCATCGCCCGATTCCTCCAGGTCCATTGCCTTCTTCAGCCCTTCAAAGATTATCTTTGTACTTTTCACGACACCTTCTTTTGTAGCGGACATAATCTTTGACTTGAACATGGTATTTTTCGAGAACGGGATCCCGATATGCACTCTCGCAACCAGAGGGGCCCCGGCAACATCGGTGCGCGGTTCAACCATATACACCGTCTCGACGTGAAAGCAGTCCCCATAAGGAATCTCAAGCAGTGTCAGCTTGTGCTCAATCATCAGTCGTTTCGCGTCCATCTTGTCATGATCGCTAGCCAAAAACGGAACGTGCACAACTTGTTCCGCCATTGTCGAAGATGGTCCGATGGGGGAAGTGCTTTTGGCACGGTATTTCATCTCGCGCACTTGACCGCCATACTCTGCCGAATCTTCCCACTTGCCAACCACGTGTTCTGAGTCTCCCGTTTCGTTATAAATACCCTGCCAGCGTGACAACGTACCGTCAGCGTAAAAGAGGTCAAAGAAGTGCAGCGCGTCGTGAATTTTCGGGTGCAATTCATATTCTCCTATGAGCTGCCTTTCCTCCACGCTGGATATCAAAAATGGCTTTGCTGACGCTGCAGGTGCTGAAGCGCTTCCATCCCCGAGCGAACTGTTCACCATGTGATAGTATAATCGTGAAGAACTAGCCATTGCTTCGCGTGTCGCCGAGATGATTTTCGACTTGAACATGCAGCCTTTCGAAAATGGAACACCCAGATACACTTTGGCCACTAGCTGCCCTGGACTCCCATCGTTGGGTGAAACTCGCTCCACAACAGTCACTTTCTCAACCGAAAAACAATCGCCGTAGGGAATGTCGTGCATGACAACTCTCGACTGCACAACGAGCTTCTCGTTGACATCTAGGCCTCCCTCATCAAAAGGTACGTGGTCGGTCGTAGTTGTCATGGTATGAGAAGGACCGATGGATGCGTTTGTCGCTGAGCGGCAACCCATAGTGCGCACTTGGCCGCCAAACTCCTTTGAAGGAGCCCAGTCACTTATTTCAATCTCTGTATCCCCGCGCTCCTTGTAGTATTCGCCTAACCGGTCAAGCGTACCATTTGCCAAAAACAGTTCAAAAAATTCGCTTGCGCTTGTCAGCTTTGCATGAAGGGGATATTCGCCCACCAGCTCGCGTTCGGCCGCAGACGTAACGAGGAATTGTGCCAGCTCTGCGTCGCCTGCAACGTCTACGGAGTATTCCAACGAAAGCATCAATTGACCGAGGATAGCATCACGACTTGATGTGACGGGCCATGCACATGTAAGTTGCGCTTTCCGCATGCCCGTAAAGCCCAACATTTCACGGAGAGACAAAGAGACTTCGCCGATCTTCGTAGTCAGATAGCGCAGATGAATCTCGTACACATGCAGTACCACCATATCAGGCAGCCCACAGAAAGCACCGGACGTTGCCCCTAACGCACGGCATTCGTGACATTCCACGCATAGATGGTCCTGAAAAGTCCACGCAAGCTTTTCGTTCCACTTGATCGCAGCCCCCTTCTCGCCCTTTTCCCCCCTCGGCTTTGGCGAAGTTTGCCCAACGGGCACGCCAGAAAAATCGTGAAATTCGGACTTGAACTTGGCTACCACGTAAAATTGACGCATCGACGCGTCCTTGTCGTAACTCATGTCCTGCACCACCAGATCCAGCGCATGCGATTTCAGCTGCACAGGAGGGACTTCGACGTCATCTTCAGCACTGCTCAACAGATTTATCGCGCCCGCTGCGACATTCATTGCATTGAATCCATTTTGGCTAAAGTCGGACATCGAGTGCATCTTCATTGCTGATGTCGCCGACGGTGCAGCAGAGCCATTTGCTGTGGACGTTGCTTGATGGAATGAAAAGGGCGCCACTGCAGCACTGAGCACGCTGTCAATGCGTCCTGGCACGTGGCCTTGGATAGCCCGCATTGTTAGCACACACAACCACGAGCGCGTGGCCATCTCGTCTTCTGCCCTGAAAAAGTACGTGCCTCCCAGCGTGCCTCGCACCTCGAGCGTGTTAGCTCCAAACTCAAAGGGGTCGGCGGGTTTGACAGCGTGCACGGCCAACGACCCCTTGGCGTTCATATTGCGCCTCGCTGCGTCGACGTTCGGGTAGTACTTGACCCGCGCGTGCGCATCCAGCACAACAAAGCGCTTCTTCCAGTGCTTGTCGCGCTGCAGCCCCTTCTTCACGAGCAGCCAGCCGTCCATGGGCGCGTCGCCGAGCTCCACGAGGCTCTCGACAAACTCCTGTTTGTTCGCCATCGTGTCGGCGAAAAACGGCATCAAGTAGTACGTCGAGCGACGCGGCAGCCGCATGCGGGTCTCGCGCTCGAGGCGGTGGCGCACGCCCGTCGTCTGCGCGGAATCTGTCTCGAGGGTCTGCGCGCCGTCGGTGGCACTCGGGCGGCTTCGGGGCCGAGCGGACGCGGGGAACAACGCGAGCAGCGCGCAGAGCAGCACGAGGCACAGCGTCAGCCCCCCCAGCAGCGCGACGTACGGACTGCGCTCCGCCGCGTCGCCGCCCGACGGGTCGCTCGGGAGCGTGCAAGTGGCTGTCTCCATGCACTGCGTCTGCGCGTCGTCGGCCACTCGGCCGCGTCCTCGACAGCAGACTCGACTCGACGCGGATCGCGTCGGACGGGGCGCGTGATATTCTTGCGGCTCGACGGCGCAGTGTCAGTGTGGGCCGCTGTCGCACTTGTTGTTTGTATGTCTAACGGTGTGGTGTGTATCTCAACGGGTTCGAGCCCCTTTTACGCGCGCAGTTGTCGTGCCAAAATGCCGTATACAGGTTCTCTGTCGTGCAAAAGTCTAGCAGTGAAAAGCTAAATTCTCGTTTTCGAGTAATTGTACCGATTCAGCGCATGTAGTAGCATCGCAAGCCCACCCGCATCAAGTCCTGTCTTTCTTGTCACTTTGCGTACATGCCTAGTCCCTCTATTCTCGGACTGTGAGCGAAGGGTGATCTGCCGCTCGAGTATAGCTCGAGTGTCCAGTAAGCACCGTGGATTGCCGCACATGTACACAAAAATCAAATTGATATGCTGATCGATCGCTACTGAGACGACAGATGAGACCCCACCTGATTGTATTTTGCCATTCTGGCTCTTACACCGTATAAGCTATAAGTTGACGACCAACACGGATCTACCTCGACCCGTCATTTATGTATGAAACACTCGTGTTAAGTTTCTGCCTAATCCGGGTTCCGGAGCTTCCACAAAAGCCGCATTGCTGCATCACGAAAGCATACCTCTCTAGTTATACGCACTATGATGCGGGGTTGGCATGCTAATGTTATCGTTTCTGAAATATCGTTGCTGGGGGTAAGCCCACGGTCAACTTGGACAACCACTGAAGTTCTATTCGAGAGTGAAAAGGGGCCAGACGATATGGAGTGGGTCTTGCGCTATCGCGTTCCGGTATCACGATGTTATGTGTGCACACAAAGACGACGAGACATCGACACTGGCAAAGGTTCATGTTCACTCAGACGATGATACAAGCTGAGCACGAGCGCAAAGCGGTGCAATATGGATTTGTCGCTGATGAACATTCTAGAAATCAGAATGTGGGCTGATCCGTTTTACTGCTTCGTATTGGTGACTGCGTGGTAGGACCTGGTAATTCAGTGCACAAGAATATCGTTTCAAGCAAACTCAGCAGTCTGAATCGTCTGTATTTCGTATTCGGCGCTAAGCAAGAAGCAGAGAATCAGTGGAGCCGCAAGCTTCTGACGGATGTACAAAGCACCATGACAACGCATACTGTATTTTGCCAAGTTTTGCGCAGTCACACACGCAAGCAACCTTGTTTGGGCCACATTAGTAGTGTTACGGGGTGAGCCCGTTTCATACAAATTGATAGAAAGTATCAATTTTAAGTATTATCTACTTTGGTAATATTCAATCAATATTACTATAGAAAGAGGTGGTGTTGTCGGAATATTACCCCCAAGGATAATATTCGTGGGTGCTCCACTTCCTGGTTGATGTACAGGCCTCCCTATTTACGGGTCTTCCGTAAATACCGTAGATAAGCTTTCTACGGGACGAGGTCCGACCTTAGATACGGTTATTTACGGGTCCTTAATTAAACTACTACGAAGAGCGAAAGCAGTTGGGACAGCTGAGTATCAAAAGACCGTGTTTGTATTCATTGTCTCCGCTTAGAACGTAAGTTTCTGCAGAAGATTGAACTGTCTTGCGTGCATCACGCCTTCCAGGGAAAAGTCTGTCAATCTCATCCGGTGGATGTCTTTTTCCCATTTTAGAATGGAGAAGTTGCTCTCTACAGAGGACGTTCCCGGAAAAGTGCTTGCCAGTCCACCACAAAACATCGCCATCTTCTTGAATCGACCACTTGTGAGTTTCCAGGCCTTGCTGAAGGGCTATTGGTATGTACACCCGTTCAATGCATTACGGAAGGGCTCTTCATTGCGAAAAGCATTTTTGAGATCACGGAATTCGGTTTCAATGTAGTCCATTGTCGCTTCTGCAGAAATAGGGACCCAACGAGCAGCAAGACGTTCACGTTGTGCGCGTACAATAGCGATAAAGTCACGTCCATTCAGTGTCACCAGCTCGTGCGGCAGAACTGGTGGCAACGCGTCCAAGGAAACGCCATTTAGGGAGTTTCGTTCGGCCACGACTTCGTCCAGCCCAGCGATCAAATTCAACAGGCCCTTGGTCAAGTTTCTTGCCAGGTTTTCCATGCTGGCTTTCCCGGCATGTTGCATGCGATCGGATACAAAATCACCCATGTCTTCCAGAAATGTGGTCATATCTTCGACACGAGCTGAGTAGAAGTCGTTGCCGGACACAGCGTCTCTCTCGATGTCGAGGACTTCACGCTGTCCAGAAGCTAATGGGCCGTTTGCTTTGACATAGTCTTTGTAGCAAGTCCGTAGATTGGCGATGGCTTGGCGCTACCGCGAGACCAGAGTGTCATCCTTTTGAAGTTGCTTGAAGGTAGTGGTGGCGGCTGTGGACACATCTTCGACGAACATTAGGACTACCCGCCATTCATGTGGCGGTTTCCAAGACGGGTTCTTCGTCTCCAGGTACTCCCTGATGGCCACACGGTGCGTTTTGAACCAGCTGGCGACCTTTGACATGGGCTCCAACCTTGTTTCTGCGAGTGTGCGACATTTTGTTCCCGTGTCGTTAATCAGGTTCTGTTGACGGCGCAGGTATCCAATGAGTGCTGTTAGCATTAACACAAATTGTTTGTCCATCAATTCTTCGTAGAACGATCGCAACTTCAAGTCCAATTGATGTGAACCACATCAGATGCGGTAAAAGCCAGGTAATGCTGCTTTTTCAAAATGCGTGGCAACCCCGCCAATGTGGCCGGTCATTCGCGGTTCGCCGTCCGTTGAGATTGTAATCAGCATATTCTTCCATTCAGTGAAGAGTACATCCAGCACTGCCGAAGCGTGGAGGTACACTTCTGCTGCCGTATGCCTGCAGAAAACGGAATCCTAATCAAGTGCAAGTTGAGGATCGCGCCATCCCAGAAGAGCCGAATGCGGATGTCCAGGTAAGAAGTCGACATGTGAGTGGACATATCCAACGCAGTTGAGAATGCCCAGCTGTTGTCCAAGATGTCGTGGATATGTTGCAGATTCAAGGCCAAAATAAAGCGAGCGTACTGAGCGACCCTTTCATCCTTGGCAGTGCCGATTTCCGCAACGCCGGTGACTTCTTTCGTCATGGTAATTAGAGCTTCTGCTTGGCAAAAGGAAAATCCAGTGCTGAGGAATCCCGCCACCAGATTGAATTGCTTTGGATTCGAGATGTCGATTCGATATTTGGTAGTGGCCAATCCAGGGTCTTTAATGGTATTGGGATAGATATCTTCGAAAATTCTAAGTGCTCTTTCCCTGCACATGTTCGGCAGCCCATCGTCGTCGTCCTGGTCGAGAAGTAGGTTCCCGATGATGAAGTCAACAATCGCTTTATTGATGTAAAGCTGCATTGCCGACTGGTTACCGTCGAAGTGCGACGGAATAATGTTCCTGTGTCTGACTGGTGCATTTCTTTGGAAAAAAGTGGCCTTCTGGTCCCTGGCCAGGATCTTGAATTGGTCCCAGCGAGCCTTGTGCTGGCGGCTGAAGTGGTGTACGTAATTGTCGGTTCGAAATGGTTTAGTGAAAGACTTGATATTTTCGGTTCTGCGCCGCTTCCGTTCTTCCTGGGCGGTGCTCGTGTCTGTGTCCTCTCGGCCAAAGTGAATACAGAAGAGACAATTTACTGAAACGACCTCCGACGTGGCTGCGTCCCGACTTGCGATGGAAAGTCCGTAGTTGACTTGGTGGTCTGGGCTGAAAAGCGTACGCAGCGTACCGCGCGGCATAGCGGGAGCACGGGAGTTGAGTTTAAAGCAGGTAATAAGGCGTGCTCGAGACAGAGTGCGAGGAGAAGGGAGGTAGGGAGGGCGAGTTTAAGGAGCGAAGACAGGCAAGAGCGCCGGTATAAATTAGAGTGCCGCCAATAAAAAACCTTTCATTAAGGGCCCTTATTTACAAGACAACCTGAGCCTTATTTACGGTTATTTACGGTACAAATACCATTTTCCCGTGAATAGAGAGGCCTGTTGATGTGACATCTACATCAACCAAATTAACCACCAATCGCTGCGGGACGCGCGCAATGGGTGGTGAGCAAGAGACACACATAGAAGATGGTAATTTAACATGGTTAGAATACGACGAAAGATAATTTAGTTAGAAGCTTAACTATATTAAAAAACAGTTCTACTTTTTCCCTTAGACAGAGCTTTCGAGTTCTACCTACTTCACTGCTCCTCCTCGCCACGTGTGCGTGACGTCGGGTGCACACAACTTTGTGTCGAATTGGCACAAGGCGTGCCCCGTTACACCTATTAGCAATTTGTAGTCCGTCTAACGACCACGACCATCTCATTCGACATGAACATGTTGGATACGGAGGAAAGCTTTTACGCCACGCGTGAAGGCTATAACCGTTTAATTGACATCGAATTTAGTGCGGTAGGACGTATGAGTTCTACCGTCGGCGAATCCACCATTAGCGCCATGTAGGAGTCTCTTAACAGAGACGAACAACATGCCGCTATAGCCAGGTTCATCCAAAATGAACTTTTCGCCGAAAGAGACAAGGTAGCCTTGCTTCACCAGCAAGGCTCTAAATAGTGATTAGCAGTTGAGAGAACTCGGTTCTCAACAGAAAGAGCTGTTGAGACAGCAGCAATTAAATGATGTTGTGGGCGGGACGACACACACGCGTCGTCCCAAAATCTTGAAGTTTGACATCTTCAAGTACAGAAGAGTCGAGGAAGACTCCATGTTGGAATGGTTCGTCAAATTAGACAGAGCCATAACGACACGTAGTGTCGACGATGAGCAAATAAAATTCACATTTGCTCAAGCCCACTTGGCAGGGCGTGCCAAGACTTAGGCCTTGGGGCTCGAAATGAGCGATTAATATGCTTTCGTTTCGCTAGAAACATTCAAGACCCGGATCAAACAAACGTTTGAACCGCCATGGGCTGAGCCCAGGGCTCGATCTGAGCTCCTGAAA